GGAGGGGAAAAGAAGGGGCTTGAGGGGGGCAGATCAAGGCCCCCACGGTGGGGGAGGGAGTGGGGCAGGGGCAGGCAGGTGCTGCCCTGCCAGGGCGGGGCACAAGATGGAGCCATGGGTGGCTTGTGGGGGGAGGGGGGGGCACGGGGAGGGAGGACAGCTCTTGCAACTGTGCACACCCCGGGGGAGGCACAGAGGGCATATGCCCCCAGATTTGTGTGCGGGGCAAGGGTGGACTAGGGCTCAGGGCCAGGGGCTGCACTGGCATCTTCCTGGCAGGGGGGCTGGGTCGGGGCTGTGCTTGAGGTGGGCAGAGCAGGCAGTGGCAATGTTGGGAGGGAGGGGGCCGTAGTCTGCCCCATAGCCACCCTTCCCAGTGCTGCCATCACCTGACCTGAGTGCAGCCCCAGCCCAGCCCCCCTGTTGGGAAAAGGTTGCCACAGCCCCTGGCTGCAAGCCCACAGTGGGCAGCCCGCTTTTACCTTGCTCACAAATCCAAGGGGCATGTGACCACCACTTTGCCTCCCGCAGGGTGCACACAGAGGTGGGATCTACCCCCCACCCCAACCAAGCCCTCTCAGGCGAGCCACCCATGGCTGTCCCATGCCCCACCACAGCTGGGAAGCACCAGCCTGTCCCTGCCCCAGCCCCATTCCCTTCCTCACTGTGGGGGCCTTGATCTGCACCCCTGCCCATGCCCCTTTCCCTCCACAGATTTACCAGCCAGACGCTGCATTCCTGGCTGTGTGCATGCTGCGGCTGTGCGCATGTACGCGGCATTTATCAGTGACATTATCAGCTACACTGACCATAGAAAGCTGATTGCTGATAATGTCAATTTTCTTTTTATCGGTGCCGATCTGATATGGACCAATATATCTGTTCACCTCTAATGTTAACTACGTTTCTAATTGTCTGCTGCATGCCTGAAACCATTGGGTTTCTCTTTACTAAATAAACCTTCCTTTTTTTCTATCTTTTTTTAATAGGACCTGGGGATAACGAAAGTGGGACATATGAAGCGAATTCTCCAGGGAATTAAGGAGCTTAGCAAGAACACACATTTGTCTGATGTGTAATTATACTGGTGCTATCACTGGAGAGAGGAAGAACTGCTAGTTAAGCAAAGCCATTGAAGGCACTTTGCTGTCTTTGTAGTTTACTATATGGATGAGTAGGCACTGGTATACCATGCAAGTTAATATATCTGTAGTCTTGTGTGGGGAAGAGCCTGAAGTATGAATCTGAGAGGTTTGGTGCCAAAAAAGAGGTTATAAATTCCATGATAATGTTTGCTTAATGTGTAAACTTGACCGGTTCAAATAAGCACATTTTGGTTAAGAGATCTGTGTATGGTGAAATGTGTTGCCTGGAAAGTGTAATTAAGAAACAGTTGCTTTGCTTTAGGTGGCCCAGTGTGGCTCCTTTTAAGTGCAGTAACATATCACTGTACAGCATGAGGTAGTCTCAATATATTTGAGACACAGCTGCCCTAAAAGGTTCTGTACAGAGATGGATCATTTTTAGTTTTGCATGTGAACTGACATTGCCTCAGGTACCTATCACTCCCTGGCCAAGGAATATGGTTGAAGACAACTTGTATACCATGAATGCAAACTATAATGCATGGTATGCCTGCTTGAATTGTCCGTTTTTCTGTTGCATGGCACATCTGGTATTTTAAACACTTGAACAACTTTGATATCAGTTTTAATAAGATTTAATTTATTAATACTTGTGCATTTTTTTCTTTTGGGTTTTTTTTTTTTGGTTATAGGCACTTTTCTATTCATTCTTCAGTGTTGTATTTTACTTAAATATGTTCGGTGGCAAAGGACTTGTGAGTGTGAACACTTAGCGACTGTGCCATATTCAGCAAATAATGTGCATTATATATGATTGAAACGTTGTATAGTTAGATCTTTAAATTTGCCATGTACAGTAGGTATTTCAGGTCATTAATTTATGAGTGTTTTGGAAAACCGGTACCTCACAAAATTTATCAGTTGGCTTGTCACATGGAAAATCACAAAGATTTTTTTCTCATGATTCATTTAATGGAGTTCGTTGGTTACCTTGAATATCCGTAGCATATTTGAACTGTTAAGAAGTAACAATGCCACTTTATTGTGCCAAAATGTTAATGCGGTCCTTTTTTAAGTGAGCAGCAAATTCATTTTACATATCCTATGTATGAAAAAGTAAAAAAAAAAAAAAAGGAACAGCTATGTCAATTTGTGGGGTAAACTTTTATTCATACTATTTTAATAATTTCTTTTAAAGGCTCATAAAATACCAAAACATTGTGCATAGCTCATCTGCATAGCTATATTCCACCTGTTTCTTGTTACTGCATTGGTAGGTCATACAAGCAGATTTAGTAAATGTGGTAATACTTCCCGAAGCACAGAATGAGCAGAAACATGTCAAGAATGAATGTAGTTTATACTGAACATTAGAGCAGTTTATAAAAAAAAAAATATGACTTAAACAAGAAGTAGCTTCATAATTGACAACTTAATTTTTCACAAAGTATTTATAATAGAAAACAGAATGTAAATATCCATGGAAGTTAAAATTACAGGAAAACTACTGAAGTATTTTTAGATAATATGTTGATACAAATTTGTGTATGGCTATATACAGTTGTAAGTAAACTTGTATAAAAAAGATCACTTTTTGCTATTTGTGAGAATGCATCTTGCCAGCAAAAGAGCCTTGGCTTTTATTAACCAAATATCCTCAGCAGCAGAAGCTTTGCTAACCCTTGAAAATTAAAGAGCACATTCCTAGATATGTATTCATTTGTATTTACTATCTGATACTAGAGAAAATTTGCATTTGGTTTTAAAAAGTTTGTTTTTCACAATGAAAGGGAACAGTGTCGAATATTACTAGGTCCTACTTTGACCAGTCTGTATTGTTTGTCTTAATATGAGGAAGATTTGTCCCTGGAAAGTAAAAATCTTGATGATTATTCTTTTTTGAAAAAAAAGACCATATGCCACTATGTTGCCAAGAAATATGAAAAAGGGGGGGCAAAAAGCCCAAATTATGCTAAAGTACATTGCTATATGTTCTTCTGCTGTAGATAAAATAAGAGCCAATCCCATGATCATCTGGCATAGTAGATTATACTGGTAATCAAACAAAGGAATGAGTTTATGTTCCATTAAGTTTACAGCAACAACCAAAACAAACACTGCTTGCTAAGTGACATTATTTTTGAACTGTTGTATTAAAAGGGCATGCAAACAATGGACAGTTTTTTAAAATGTACTTAACACTGACCTCTTTAAAAGATATTCAGATAGTATCTGTCATGTCTTCATGAACCATCTTTCCTTGCTTTCCTACTCCACTGTAAGCTACAGTGTTTGTATTGTGTGGCAGCATTCTAATGTGTGAGTATTCTGAGAGGATTAGCCTTGTTCATTCAAGTTCATAATTCATAAAAGGGTTTGGTTTGCTTTCTTACAGAATGATTGCTCCCTTACATGCTCACTGCTTTATTACTCAATGCATAGAATTGGACATGTGGAGCAAGGTTTCTTAAGACTAGGCAGTGATTGAAAGAGGCCTCCACAGAGTGCAGCTGGAAAGTGTGAGCCTCTCTTTTAAGCAGGAAAAAATGGCTTATGTTAATAATTAAACTTTTTTTGTCATGCCTCAGATTACCTCAGTGCAGAACGGAATTTTTCATTTATTGTCTTTGTGTATTATGGGGTGTTTTTTTTTTTTTTCAAATGATTGCCAAAGAATTTAACTTCAGTTATATAAGGGGAGGATTTTTTTAATGGACAAAGGTATTTCAGAATTTATTTATATAGTTTTTGACAGAAGCCCAGGAAAGCAAAATTTTGTGTGCACCTATGACTTAAAACTTCATTGAACATCAGTTCCATGTGCTGCTGAAGTAGATCTAAAATACAAGAAGGGATGCCTTTACTGTGGGCATAAGCTTGTAACCTTGTTTAGGGAAATGGGTTTTCTACAGAAAGTAGTTTTTAAACACAGTGTTGCCAGCTCTGAGTTTATTGTCAGTCGGTCTGTCTACATCTGCATTTATACCAGTTTAAATTTACTGCATAATAAGCAGGAATAGGCTGGCATCTACACGTGCAGAGCAGCTTGCTATGTGCCCCTGTGGCCCCTGGGAGGAGCTCCAGCCTCCTGCCACATGGCTGCCAGCCCTTGGGACTAACTTTAGTCCCAAACTGAAGCCAAGAGAGGCAGCCAGCCAGAAGCCCTGGGGCTGGGCTCAGGCTGGTCCCCTAGTGGCTGGGCAGACCCAGCAGGGTGGCCCCCTGGGTACTGCTCAGTAAGGCACTATCAAATTTACGCTCAGGTCAGCATAAGTCTCCATATTTACTACATAATACAGGCATGCATGTGTAGATGCATGCCCATACTGCACAATCATTTTGGTTACTGTGCAGTAAATCCGCACATGTAGATGCACCCAGTGTTTTGATATTTTTTTTGGTTAGGCTTTTTTGTCATTAGAACCCTAGCTCCTATAATCAGGAGATTACTTGAATATATCAGCTTTAATTTTTTAACAAAGTGATTTCTGAGTCTTTATGACTACATTGAAAAATGTTTCCCAGAATATGAATCCTAATTTTTTTAAGGCAAATAAAGAATCCTAAAACATTTTTTTAAATCTTATGATATTTATGCAAATAGATTTTTGGGAGCTGGACTTGTTATACATAAAACCTTGGTGTATGTAATACTATAAATAAATAACAATACTGGTAAGAAAAAAATGTTCATGGCTCAATACATTTAAGTTTCAGAAAATGGGTGTGTACCACTGTAAATGCGTACAAGGCAAAACAGAGCAGTCAGCATTGTTTTTAAAAACAGAAGTAGTTATGTGTGTATGTGTCCATATGAGTTCACTGCCCTTTATGGAAAGAGGAAAGGGAAAGCTGCATATTTGAAAAGGATAATACAGTGGCAAGATTAGATGCGTTTGTTTTGCTGTTGTATAGCATTTTTCTAGTTTCTTATATTCAACTATTGTAGCAGCCTCTGTTTCAGATGATACATGTGCTACCTTTTATAATATACAATGCCTTCTTTTTTAAAAAGTCTAATCAAACCATAAAGACAAATTGTACTACTTTCTATGATATTTCAACATGGAATTCTTGTATAAAAAAGTGAAATTATAAACTGTTTTAACATTCTTCCTTTCTATTTTTATGCATTTTCCCCTTCTTATTTTTTCCTGTAATTTTCCCCCTATCACATTTCTATTATCCTTACAGGGGAATAGAAAAAGTATAAAACAACTGACTGATCAACCCCAGACACCCTGCTATGAGGTTTGTCTGTCTTTCAATATAGTAGTTCTTTCTCATATTATGTTCTGAGAATGCAGTTATATCAGAGCTTGTGAGCTACTAAAATCAGCATTGTCACCCTCTATTCCCCACAACTTCCTCCCCCAAATTCTTGTTAAAACTTTGCATCTTTTAATACAAGCAAGGGGATTTGTTTTTCCTATGTAATGCCCATATTCTGTGTTTAAGTATATTTGTGTATTTTGACTTCGTACTAATATGTAACCTGCCAGTGTTTGATTTTTAACTGGACTAACTGATGCAAATTCACCTTATGAAAACTGCACAATGCCTAGATAACACCCATTTTATTTCATAAGGTATCCTGATAAAAATAGTGTTTTGTCATTGTGTCATGATCCTCCCCCAGGATAGGAAGCTTATTTCACAGTTAATGGTAAATTAATATATAAACCAAAACATTAACAAAGTATTTAATGTTAGTTTGACAATGCATTGTACATAGATGATGTCACATTGGACATGCGTGACAAAAAAAGGGCAGAGAATCTATTTCGCTTGATTCTTATTGTTTATGATTGCACTATTAATGTTTACCACTGTTTAGTCATATCTGTATATGTACCTCTAAGTATTAAGCTTTTTTATTGTTGAACTTTGTTTAACAGTTCTGGTAACTGGTAATTAGTAATGTAATAAGCTTTGACATTTGTAAAAGCTTCAGTTATGTGAGACACATTCTTGAGGATAAATGAGTTGGAGTAATATTTATCGTACAACCAGGAAATTATCTGATGGTTCATGGGTCAGTTAAAAGCCATATTGAATTATATGGAGCTTTTCTCTTGCCTCCAAAGTAGATAAATATCTCACTACTCTATTAATACTGAGTGTTACATCTATACAACAGGGTCCTTCTTATGACGATTCTTTATCAATAGATTATAAACTTTAGGATATGATTTTTATATCAAAATGTTTTCATGCTGCTTATTTCAGTTGCAAAGATTTCAATGTTTGTAGGAATTCTCAGTGACTTCTGTTGGCTTGAGCAAAAAGTAGATGGATATTTTTTATGTAATTGAGAAGTTTGGGGAGGGTGATGATAATATTAAGTACCACTTGATAACCTTCAGTAAAAAGTCTTCACTGGTTATGTACAGATCTACTCAAATATAAGATGATTGCCTCCATAATTAGATTCTATATGTGGAAAATTTATAAATTTGTTATAATTTTCCAGGTATAGAACCTAATTATTGGAGATTTGCCTTGAATTTGTCCTCTTCCTCTTGCTACAGCAGGGAAAATAAATCAGGGGGAGGTCAGGGGGGCCCCTTGCCCTCTGCCCCCCAACTTCCTTGCCGTGCAGCCCCTTCTCCCCCCCTTAATGTCAGAACCTGCTCTCTATCAGCATATGGAAATGAGGGGTAAATTTTAAAATAATGACCTGGAGATTAAACATTTCTTTAGTAAGTTAGTTCATTCAGAATTGATGCATTTTACCTTTTTTTTAAACTGCTGCAAGTTCTAGTGCAGGTATTCCATAAACACACTTTTAAGCAGCACTTGCGTACCTCTTTATAGAGTACAAACTCTGCATTGATATTGGTCCAAAGCCAAAAGGCTCATGATTTACCATATAGTCCATTGGGCTGGGCCCCAGCAGAGTCAAACCATGGTGTTTCAAGCCATGATGACCCCATTGCTTAGCACTGCTGAGTATGTGTATACTCCAGATACGCACCCCACAAAGGATCCATATGTTAATTAGCCCCTCGCCTCTCTGCCCCGCTCATGACTGGAACTGGGTGGTCTTGTCATGAGTCCTGGGAAGTTCCAAAACTTTATATGCAGATGAGGTGCCGGGCATCCTGGTCTGGCTCCACCTCGCAGACTGTGGGGCCACACTAATAATATGAGACCGGCTGAGAGAGGGGGTGACAGGGATTCTGGGTGAACTGTTTGGGGCCCTGTTTGATGATGTTTGCCAGAACTTTGAGACTGGTGAAGAAACATGAATAATTGGAAATGGAAAAGAAAGGCACAGCTCAGCTCTGGGAGTGAAGAGGAAGTTGAAGTGTATTCACTGTAGTGGTTCACCATGACTTGTGAAAGTTATTGTTATGGGGGACTGAGTACAGTGGATGCTACCATATATTTTATTCAGATGTGCTGCACTAACCTAGCCTTGTGGCAGGTTTCCATCAGTATGTATGCCCAGTATGGCCCGTGTGTGTCACAGTCATGCTTAGTGTTGGCTGCATTCAGCTTCATAGTTGGTTTCCATTATTGAGCACATGCTGCTTTTGGCAGCAGTTTAATGATATACAGCATATTTAATGAGGTTTTCATGTGTGGAAATGTAAGATGAAGGGCCTTTTTCCCCCATGCTGACTGACTGACAAACCTTGGCTTGTATTTAAGTAAATATAGTATATATGGGATACAGTGTAGGACTTGATCTTTTATACAAAAATGCCTTTTCTAGTTCTTTTCTACTACTCTGGCCTTAGGTTTAATAGCTCTGTCAGTAGTTTGTTTATATACTTGATTTTTTCATTTCTGCCATACAGAAGCTGTTTGTTCCTTAGACATTATATTGTGTTGGGAAGCTTCCCATCTTTTCTCTACCAAGCCTAATTCTGCAGTCCATTGAAGTTAGTGGCCAAGCTGATTTCGGGCCCGAATGCATTTGAATTCTGGAATTAAAGACTAGCTATAGGCACTTAATTCCAAATTCATGAATATACCAAAGAGCAAAACGGCCAAAAAGAAAGTAGAAGTAAAATCTTCTGAAGTGTAAAATGTTCATATTTCCAGCATTTGCAATCAAGTTTCATTAGGTCTTAAACTTATGATGTAAGAAATAAAAAGATTTTACAGTACAAAGATTTTATCCCTTGACAGGCCTGAAAAATAAAACTTCATCACCTTCACAAATGGCATTCAGACATTTAATGCCCTTTGCTAAATAGTAAAAATTATGATAGTTGTTTACCTCAGTGAATGTACAGATCTGTTTGGATGCACTTTAACATTTCTGTCAGGTAGGGTTTAAACACACAGCCAGATTTTCAGGACATTGCACTTGGGAACCTTAATCTAAAAATAACGCAGTGTCCAAAGTGACATATAACAACTAATAATCAATAATAAAATCTCTTTAAAAATATGCACTAGAATAATGCAAATCTAAAAAGACTGGATCTAATACTGCATCTTTAATTTATGTGAGAACCTTTATACGAGTATTTTCAAGGATATCTCTGTTCTTATAGGTACTACTTACATAAGTACAGGCTGTAGAATTTGGTCTACTCTATAACATAGTGGCTGTCAAATCCTGCCCGTTATATTTATGCAACCTCAGCTGAGGTCTGTGTTTGGTCTGCTTTTCTTTTGGCATATTTGTTCTGCCACCAGTCAACATGATGTTAGAAAGAAATGGGCATCTGATAAACCTTACTGACTGTGCACAGTGCATTTTTTTTAATATTTAAAGGAGAAATCAGTCCAAACATTGCAAATGTAGACTAGTTTATGAAACTTGCAAGAAATAGGCTAAAAGCAAAAGTGAAACACATGACTGCATTTTCATTGTTAAAACTGAGAGAAAAGTAAAAAATTGTGAATATGAATAAATAAAAATAAATCAGAATTTACAATCCTAATTTTAATAATCTAAGGGGATTGTTAAATAGGTTGAGAAATCTTTTACTGGAATTACTGTGTGTTAAGTAAATAGGGAATTGTTGGTATGATTTATTAACCAAAATGAAATAATTATTAATTATTTATTTAACATTGATTCAAAAGGGAAAATAATCAGCATTATCATGTAATTATATTTTTCTCTCGGCATCAG